TTTCCGATAGACTTTTGCAAATGATCGGTTTAGCTGATTTTCTTTATAACGCTCCTAAGGGGGAAAGTATCTATTGTTCTATGCTCACGACATCTAAGCTTAATTCCAAAGAAAAATCTACTTCAATTTTTCTTAAACTCGGTTTTCTTGACGAAAATGGAGTACGTGACGAGGGATTCTATGGTTACGAAGCGTGTAGTTTGGCGCGGGGTATTCCCGATAAACTGTTCGTTTATTGTGATATTTGCGAACCTTACATAACAGGAGATGTGCAAACTCCTCTTCTCCGAATAGTGCCTGTCACAGGGGGTGGGCGCGATTACGAATATGGAACGAATCAGGTAAAACATTTCTCACCTCTGCATTATATCCCGCTGCGCCTAACAAATTTCCGACGGATTGAAATCGATATAAAAGACGATACTGGAAACAAAATACCATTTGAATCCGGCACGTTAACGGTGACTTTACATTTCAAACGTATCGATTAGATTTTTAAAAATACTCTGTAAAGATTTTTTTGATAAGAAAGAAGGGATTTGTTCATTAATATGGATTATTATTCGGAGTATTATAACGAATTACAAAACGGTGGAACTCGCGGTGGCGGAATTCCACGAGTTTTTGTCGGTTCACCCTATCAACGAGGTCATGGAATAGGTAGTTTTCTCGGAGGAATGTTCAGACGTGTATTGCCTTATTTAACTAGAGGTCTAGGGGCAGTGGGTAAAGAAGCTTTGCGGGCCGGGGTTAATATAATCGAGGATGTTGAAAATAAAATGCCGTTAAAGGTAGCTGTCAAACATCGTTTTGAACAATCGCGTGACAATCTTAAGAGAAAAGCTAGGGAAAAAATAAGTAGTCTAATGAAGGGTACGGGATATAAATCAGATGAAAAAATTCATGTAGCGCAGTTTCCTTTCGGCAGGCTTAAGACTCACGTCGCTAAATCCTCGGTAACCGTGTCGCGTAAACGGCGTAAGACAAATAAGAAAAAAAGTTTATCGAAAATCAAGTCTCGTGGGAAAAAAAGAACAAATACAAAAAAAACTAAAAATAATACGAGGAAAAATCGCTCGACTGTAAAAAGGCTCAAATCGTCCGCGAAACGGCGTAAAGCTAGTAGCGGTAAAAAGCGCACAGTATACGATATATTTTCATAATCACCATTATTTCTAAATACGCTTGTCCGTGACAATAACGCTGGTAGAGCGGGCGACGATAGAAAAGAATGTCATTTCTTCACACACACTCGAGCGAGTGTTTAAAGAGCGAGCTCGATCTCTTCTCTTTACCGCCCACGCAAACTAGCATCGAAAGTTCGCAATGGATTCATTACAAACCCGTGACCTCGCTTTCGGACGACTCCCCGCTAGAATTCGTCATCCCGGGTCACGGAGAAGAATATTTAGATCTCACACACACGTTACTAAGTCTTCGGGTACGCGTAGAAACCGAGCCGCTACCCGGTCTCGCCGCCGGATCAGGCGTCAACGTGGGCCCCGTAAATCATTTTCTTCATTCCATCTTCAATCAAATCGACGTGTATTTCAATCAAAAGCTCGTGTCGCCTCCAAACAACGCTTATGCGTACCGCGCGTACATCGAAGCGTTGTTAAATTATTCATCGCCCGCAAAAACTTCCCATCTAACCTCGTGCTTATGGGATGCGGATACACCCGGACACATGGACGATACGGCAGGAGCGGAAGGCAATACCGCTATAGCGAGACGAGCTCGTTACATACGCGGAGGGCGCGCGCTAGATCTTATAGGTCACCTCCATTGCGACGTTTTCAATCAGGATAAATTCTTAATTAATGGCGTCGAGGTGCGGTTGAGACTCGTGCGTTCGAAAGATACGTTTTGTTTTATAGAAACTAATTGCACGTCGAAAATTCGTATACTCGATGCAAGTCTAATGGTGAGAAGAGCGAAAATAAGCTCCGGAGTATTACTAGCGCATGCTAGAATGCTGAGCAAAGTTACCGCCAAGTATCCGCTTACGAGAGTTGAAATTAAAACATTCACGATTCACAGCGGGGTTGTGGGTGAATCGTTAGATAATGTAATACTGGGACAATTGCCGAAACGAATAATAGTAGGTTTCGTCGATAATAAAGCGTTTAACGGTGACAGAAAATTGAATCCGTTTAATTTCCAAAATTACGGAATAAATTTCTTCTCGCTATACGTCGACGGTACACAAATACCCAGTAGACCGTTACAACCGGTTTTCTCGTCTCGCGAACCGCTTTACATCGAAGCTTATCATACGCTCTTCTCAGGGACGGGTATCCATTTTTTGAACGAGGGAAATTCTATAAGTAGAGATGATTATTCTCGGGGATATACGTTATTCGCTTTTGATCTTACACCCGATCTATCCGCTAATTGCGCCGGTCATTGGAATCTCGTGAAACACGGAAGTCTACGGTTAGAAGCGAGATTCGAGAAGGCGCTCACCGAAACAATTAATTGTATCGTTTACGCCGAATTCGATAATGTCATAGAAATCGATGCATCGCGTCAAGTTATCGTCGATTTTTCCGGTTAGCTTTTAACACTCGTTCACCAACATGTATTCATACACCGTAATGTAATACGCGATTAGAAAATTTTCCCCCCTCCTCTTCCTTTGGAAATTTCGATGACACTTTTCACGGAGTGGAAACTATGTAACGCGCTAGAATAAATTCAGTTTTGTACGAGACACAACCAAACGCGCACGTTTCGCTAAGAGCTTGTACCTCATCAACGAAAATCTCACAATATGGACATAGTCGTCGACATACAAGGTTTCCGCGATGAAGCCAATAAATTTATCGCGAAGGAAGTCGCCGTTGTCGCGATCGATACTCCGATTGTCGAGCACTGGATTATGATGCCACCATACGCGTTTGGAAAATTACCCGCAAAAGCAAGACGAGAAAACAATTGGCTCTCACGAAATTATCACGGCATCGAGTGGTTCGACGGCTCAGTTAATCCGAAATATTTTACCTCGTATCTCCGCGAAATTGCAAGACACGCGCGCTGCATTTACGTCAGAGGTAACGAAAAAGCAAACTACTTGAGGAATTTACTTTCCAGAGATATAAATAATTTGGAGGGTACCTCACCAGCATTTAAAAATCTACCGGATGAGGAGGATATCGTACAATATTGCGGTCATCACGGGATTCGAAAATTTGGAACCTTTCATTGCGCGTTATACAATGCTTATAAATTAAAATGCTGGCTAAGTGCGCAAAATAATTGCGAGAACGTTTCAACCTCTACTGAAGCTACTTGTAGTTCTGACGAAAGTTGGGAAATTACTTTCGACGATAGCGACGATAAATACGAAACCGCCGTTTCTTGCGATGTAAATGAGAATATAACTAAAATACAAATAGAGGAAAAAAATCAGCAAAGCAACGAACAGCAGATTGAAAAAGAAGAAGAAGAGAGATTTGTGATTTCTGAATCGTCATCGACGTTGACGGACAAGAACGAAACAATTTCCATCTCGACGCAAACTGACATTGAAAACCTCTCAAAACAACTCAAGATAGAAGAAGACGCATTATCGAAAGAGGTAAAAACCGGTATTGTTCAAATAATACCGTACACTCGTTCGTATTCGGGACAAAAAAAAATGAACTCTCGCGAAATTCTACAAGCATTGCATCATCTCGATGCCAGACATGTTGGAGTCTATGCAGCCGACAGAGTTCCGAGGGTGTGGACGAGGTCGACGGCTATCGTCGCTAACACCGACAATCACGATCGACCTGGAGAACATTGGATCGCCTTCTACCTCGATGAACACGGTACAGCCACTTATTTCGACAGCTACGGATTGCCCCCCTTGTATCCAGGATTTCTCATCCGACTTCGACGAAACTCCATCATCCATCGTTGGAATATTCAACAATTACAAGGAATTTTTTCTAAGACTTGCGGACAATACTGCTGTGTATTTTTATATTATATGTGCAGCGGTTATAATCTTAATCAGTTTCTCGCTCTTTTTTCCGAAGATTGTGAATATAACGATCGTTTAATCATACACTTATTTCGTAAAATTTTTACTCACAAAAAATAAGCGAATTATAACAATATATAATATGAATTTTAGTATGAATAAATAAATTTTGTTCTGTAAAAATATTTTAAATATAATCCATATTTGTACTTTTAAAACTATTGTTCAATTTTCTTTCACTTCCTCTTTCCAGAAATTTCCTCCACATGCATGTTCCTGTTTACCTTCATTAAGCAGCGAGTTATTTTAAATAAAATTTTATCTGACATCTTTCTAATCTACGACGATGTATTATTATTTTTTATCGTGACGCGAGTCGGAATGCTCGCCTGTACAAATATTTGCGTGTTCTTTTTATTACCCTACGCCATTGTCAGCTACTACCTGCCACCGGTCGACCGCACGACGCTTTTCTTGGCCAAAATGTTTTTACCCCACCCCGTCTAATATCGACCATTTGATTCGACGAGCTATCCTTGCCATACGTATACCCGAACTGTTTTTACCCCACCCCCGTCCAATATCGACCATTTGATTCGACGAGCTATCCTTGCCATACGTATACCCGAACCCCCATGCCGTACTCTACGCAACTTTAGCTTAAATACCACATCTAATCCTTAGACTAGTAAGATCTCGTTTAGCTCAACATACTAGGACCCTGCTCGGAAACACGGAGGTCCCGGGTTCAAATCCAGAGAAAATCAGAAAAAATAAAAATAAAAATTCTCATCCCCACCTTTCGGGGCCAGTCGCCATTTTTTTTTCCCCCAACACCCTTTCCCCCTAACACCCACACTCGGAAAAGCCAGACGCCGGTGGTGGGGAAAGATAAGATAAGACCCGGCGCCAGACGGGTCGGTGGTGGGGGTTTGTTTTGACGGGCCATACCTGCCATTATACTACTCAGTTATATTTCACATTATTCTATTATATTCATAATCAGTTTATAATTTATATTAAATCTTACCTGGGAGATATGTAAAAGCAAAGCTCTAATCATCACAGATATAATTAAACTTCCCAATATCATTAACGAAACTATGTATTTTATTTATATTTTTTGAAATTAAATACTACTGTAAAACCCGTTTTATTTTTATGGAATTATTGATAGAATAATGTTTTTCGATTATTTCGATACAGTATTTTTATAATTCTCGCATATGCATTTCCTATTTTTTATATAGTTTTGGAAGATTTTTCGGTTTTATTCATTTCAGATTTCTCTGTTATCAACTTCCTGTTCATAAAAACTTTTTGCATAAGACTATCTAAAATTGGAACAGAAATATTTTAATAAACTTTTGAAAATTACATTAAACAGGGCTGTTATAAATTGTTATAAATTTCAAAATAAAGAATCTTTAAAAATACAAGTATTACTAAAATATCATTTGTGATTTGACGCGTGACATTGTATCATATAAATAATACATTATTTATTTGGTAATATTTATAATATTTATATATATATATATATATATAATATGTATATATATCTATAATATATAGCATAGTATATATATATATATATATATATATATAGATATGCCGGATTTAGGCGAAGAAAATGAATAATAAAGTTAACGAAACAACATGCTAATTATATGTATTTTTTAAAAGTTTATTTTCTTTATTTCTCTTTATAAATACATACATTAATATTTTGTATTTATATTCATAATATAAATATTATTTAATTAGTTTTATCATATGTAAAACGAATCAAAAAAGATTTTCGTCCAGTCGGCAATAAAACAGGACAAATTTATTTTCACACTAATTTTCTTTAACTTTTAATGAAAAGAATCAATTAAAGTTGAATTAAATTATATTAATCAAATGGAATTAATTTGTAGCTGTCTTTGTAATGTATATTAAATTCATTTTTTATCTGTTTTCGTTTTATTAGAATATACCTTTTACTTTATATGTATTTTATTTTAAAAGATATCCTTTTTAAAAAGTTCCCTTAAGCAATAGGTTCATTATAAAATTTAATTTACAATATCATTAATACACAAGCAGTTACCTCTGCAAAAATTTTCTTTGCCAAACTCTTGGATTCGATTGTCCCATCAGAATTATTCGCAAGTGCAGTTAAAGCTGATAATAAATTCATACTTCAAACGTCGTAACTAAGAATGATGATGCATTATTTTCGTATAATTCCTGTTTGAAAATTATATGTAAAATCTAGATTATGCGATGCTGTTCTTACGCGTATATCGATTGTAGAGAGTACAAATGCAAATTTTTTATGTACACTAGTAGAGATTTTCACACAGTATCCACTTTCTAAATTGTAAATACATAGACTGTCAAAGAACTGTTATACTTTTTCTCATCATATAATTTTCTTGTGACCGAGAACACAAAGATCGAAAAGAAGAAACACAATGTTCTCTTTCTCAAAATATTTAAACAAAAGGCCGAAAACGTTCGTATATAAGTACATATTTAATGTCAAAAAATATATAATAGAATTTAAATACTAACATATACAATAAACGATAATATTGTTTGCGCCCTTTTTAACTGCGCGAGGTCTTGATAGTCTTATATTAATTTGTTTATTTTTCCTATATATAGGCCTTTAAGAATGTAGATAAATGTACAAATCAATTAGAATATTATCGTTAATTTTTAACTGGACATTCTTAGAGTAATATTCCAAATTACTGTAAATTATTTCAAATTTTTGATTTGTTCGTTTGAAAGTTATTAATTATTGAATTTTGCAATTTTAATAAAGGATATATGTGTGTTATGCGAAAGTTCGAGAGACAGATAAATTATTCCCAACTATGAAATATTAATGA